AGCCGATGGAATACGAATGCAAACCAATAAACTTGACATACGGACTTTGTGACTCATTAAACTATTCAATAGGACTAATGATCAGTTCTAGAAGTCCGATTAGACCGTTCGGGCAGTACGAGAATCCAAGACAACCCGGACGTCATCGCTATATTGCAGGCGGTGTGATAATACTTTCATATAGAAAAGGGAAAGAATTAACAATATGGAGAATTTTTAAGCCTTATTTTCATTGGCTAACATTGATTTATTCACCAATGAAATCGGGCAACCGTAATCGCCTGCACTCTTTATAAATGAGCCATTAACAGCAATTCCATTGCAATAACTAAACTAAATTTAAGTTTAGTCCTGTAAGTTGAGTTTAAATTGTGTAAATAAGTAAACAGAAGTTATATTACTTATTATATTATAGTATATAGAGTGTAATTATTATAAAATTTCTTTAAATACATTAGACTAAAGAATAGCGTGGATGAAACTCAAACAAAAAAGTTTCATTTTTTCTTAATTTAGTTTAATCTAGGTAAGTACACCACATAATACCACTCATGGACCGCGGTTAGGGAAGCGAGGTATGTAGTTTCACCCATCAAAACGTATGTAAGTACAACAGAATTACCACAATTAACATAACAGAATTACAACAATACTGCATTATGTTTAATACGAGTCAAGACATATCACGAGTTCGCGGGAAAACACGAGGGGCGAAAATCATTTCGTGTTTTTGAAAAAGAAGCTTCTGTACATGTACTTCCACAGAATAAAGAAAAAGGTACGTTGGTGTAACCTATAACTATAGATCTACTTGTACTTTAAATGAAGACCGTGAGTTGACGGAATTTTGATATTATTTCCATTTAATATTTTCCTTGAAATATTAAAGTAACAGGTGTAGTGTACGAGCAAAAATATTTTTCATTTAAGAAAATGTGTTAACAAATTTGATTGAATCAATATTTTTGTAAAACCAGTTCAATAATATAATAAATATTTGACCGGTATGACTTTTATTTTGTTTCTGGTTACTTATGTTTTCACGAGCACTACTCGTTAAATAAAACTTCTTTTAACGAATAAAACACGTTTATATTAATTCATATAAGACGTTTTGGATCTCTTTGCCCTTTAGGGGTACCGTGTTCACTTATACACAGATGTTGATTATTTACTTATTGGACACAATCACAATACTATCAGTAGTCACATGGTAACGTTTGTTTTAATTAATTTATTATTTGTATTATTTAATTATTTAATTATTATTTGTTATTTAATTTATTTGCCCCTGACTACCATAAATTACCACCACTTCCAAATTATAAAATTCTCCTAGTTATAAAAAAGACAAGCACATCTTAGTCTAATGTCCGTTTTCACTAAGCTTAGGAGACGCCCAAATCTGACACTTAAATATTTGGGCATTGTCTAAAAAGTAAACGCGTTTCGCCAATGACAAGGAATCAGCTAACGACTTTAAGCAATGCTTAAAATTAGAACATGCATTGTGCGGCACCTAGCGCTGGGAATTTGCGGAATGTGGAAGACTACTCTTTGGCCATAACGGATGTGTCAAGTGATAAAATCAATTTAGTTAGTTATAAACAAGGAGTTTATATATTAAAATCAAGATAAAAAAATAGATTTTTTGAATTTTCGTACTTTTTATCTTTTATCGATAGGGATAATAACGACTTGGGTGCTACGCATATTTTTTTATGTTTTATCCTCTCAAAATATATATTTTTATTGTTATCTCTTTACGTGTAAAGGCCACTCGTGCGACATTGGCGAAATTGTGTCAACGCAAATAGGTCATACATTAAAAAAGAAGAAGAAGAATCATTGACAAACATTGCCTGCATAAGCAAGTGCTTTGTAAAGCATTAACTAACGTTTGGTGAAACGACAAATCTTCTTGTGCTATTTTTAATGTTAAGTGATTTTTAGTTAAGCTATGTAATGTTCTAGGTTAGTGAAGACGGCCATAAGTATATAAACGCGTCTTATTCGTTCAAAGTAGTTTTATTTTATTTTGATGTTTGATTTCGATTATATTTGAGCTATCCTACAGCTTTAATAATATAAGTTTCTTGCCAGATAATTAACCCATGTGGTCTCTAGGAGACCGTATAGTGTGATAAAGTATATTATGATAATTAAAACTTAGAATAATCGGTATACCAAATTTCATCAAAATCCGATCTGTAGTTTTGCATAAAATAAATGAATAATAATAATAAATATCTTGTCTCTAATTTACGCGGCTGAAGTCGCGGGAAAAGTCATTAACTAAAAAAAGTTTATATTAAATATAATTGAGGGTAAAATAAAATAAAAAGTATATTAGGTAATTATCTGTAATAAGAATTTGTTAGGTATTAAGAAATCAATACCGTTTATTTGATCTAGGCTCTTAAGAAGCAATGCCAATATCGAAGATGTACGCTTTAGAAAAATCCATTTGGAGCACTTAGTAACACCCCACTGGTTTTTAAAATCAAAACAAATAATTATACGGATCCATTTTTATGATAAATGGGTACTTGAAAGCTTTCAATTTAATATAAAAATTGAGTTACCAATTCAATGTAAATAATTTATTTTTTTCCCTTTTCTATAAATCCAGGGAGAAAATTATGTAACGAAACAGCTTCTGCTTTACATACACTGAATACTTATTGTTTGTGTTTTTATTGAAATATTACATAATTCATGAAAGAAAATTGATATACACTGTTTGTGTAAATAAATAAATATCTAAACAAAATTTATCGATAGCTCAACTCTTATCAAGAATAGTATGGCAAATACGGCATTATCCTACTGTCAATAAATTATGGCTACACAGTATTCAGAATCACACAAACACCCAACGCGACCTCATACAATTTTCACGTCGACAGTAGTTCCATATTATATGCGCATTCATGTTTTAGGGATGAGTAAAAAATATTTGAAAACACTGAAAATGTAACATCACAATAATGTTTGTGTGTAATCATTATTACCTGCTACATATTGGAAGATCATCGACTGCCATATCAATTAATGACATTGCTATAACATTAACTCTAACAAGAAAATATGATACAGTTTACAGATAGCTATGATATGATTAAAACCTCTATTTGGCGTATAATTACAACTATCTTATTCAAATCACGCTGTGCAGTTTGTCTCGATACGACATTAGACGCATTTTCTTTATTTACTATATAAAGTGAACAGTGAATAATCTTAAAATATCTGTGGTTATTATATTCCTAATTTGGAGATAAAGTTTTTGTTTTGTAGTAAAACAACAGTTTCCATAAAATTCTAGTAAAATATTTAGAACTAGACAAAATCATGTAGCAAACCGTCACCTTTTGAATTTAAATGTTAACAAATTACTACAGCGAATATAATGTCCCAGTGACTGTGTCGTTTTGTCAAAAGGAATCTACGTTATTAATTAGTGAAAATAAAAAGGGAAGATACGGCACACTTTTTTTTACACCTATAAAAACGTCTCATTCATTGACACAAATTACTTGCAAATTGAAATCTATTGAAAGACACGTAAGTGCGAAAAACAAGTATTGTTACACATACATATACCTAGTTCTGAAAAACTTTAAATGACCTGAAGCCCGAGACTCACTCCACTTGTCTTGAATATTAGTGGAACCAACTATTATAATTGTTTTCAGATAATATCACAATTATAAAATGATCTGACGAAAGCTAGAGATCATCAAAGGGCGTGATCATATTTAATTATGATATATTTTACAAATACAAAGTATTTTTTTTTTATTTCTACAAATACTGGGTGGTATTTATAAACTTAACTTTTAAACTAATAGCTCATGATGGAAATGGGCAAGAGTTTCGTATAGAGTGATACTTCTGTATAAGGTCATTACGCAGAATGCGTGCAGAGGTCAAGTTCTGGAACAGCCAGTGGTAGCAGTGAGCTGTGAAGTACATACAATGGTAACATGCATTTAAATTGCTTCGTAACAGTTAAAAATTTTCGACATATTGAAGTATCCAACATTACAAAACTCTTACACTTTTTGAGGCGAGCTCTTGTGCTATGACGTTCTACTTTGATGGTACCCATTGTTAGTGTTGTATCTTTCCTTTTTTGTTGTTTCAAATAGGTATTATAATTTAACATGAAAGCTTGTATCTTTATTAAAACAATCTATATTATTTGGTGTTATTTTTAATATATATACATAAAACTACATATTTTGTAAATCTATATTTGATTTCATCATAAATATGAAATAATTAATTATTACAATAAACAGTTGAGCAGTTTAAAAACTAACAAGAATAAATAATTATTAATCAAAATATTAACTTAATCACAACCAAACAACTTTAGTATAGAATATTGCAACATATTTGGCATTAATCATAGTAATTGGTTCTTTATACAATAGTTATATGATACTGATTTATTTCTCTATAAAGTACCCGTATTCTATTTACAGAAGCGCAAATAATCTTGAATCATTATTTAATTTGTTTTATACCTTATGGTTAACAATATACATATTAATTAATATGCTTTATTCTTATCTAGACGTTGATATGCTAGTTTTTCTAATACTAATACATAAAGGGCATTATTTCTTGATTTATCACATAAATAATACTTTTTATTTAGTTATATTTGGTCGTCGGGTAGATCTCACTGTGTTCAGTTGTATGTAAACTTGTTAATTAACAAAATGAAACTGTTAATATTCACATCTTACATTTATATCAATATTTATTATTTAATTACCCTCAAGTAAATTTAAATGGGGTTATTATTATTTAGTATAAGAAAATAAAATAACCTAAAATACTGAGAAGCAACAATAATATTATCAAATTAGTCCACGAGCATAAACATAAACTTTTTTTTAGTTTAACTGATAATTTATTATGTATGATAAAATTATTGTAGGAAAAATTGAGATCTACTGAGTAAAGACGACCAAATAGTCTAAGGGCTAGGGACCACATTTGAGTATCTTACGGAAGGCCTTCCTGAACTCTGGATTGAATATAGTATAGATGACTGGGTTGAGAAAGGAGTTGATATAACCCAGCCAGGTGGTGAGGATGAACGCGGTGACTCCAGGGGAGAATGACAACTGGAACTTGTCGCAGATAGCGCCAAGGACGGAGCATGTGAAAAATGGCGCCCAGCAGAATAAAAATACACCTGTAAATAAATATTTTGTCAAAATGAAAAAAAAATCGATCAGATTCAAAAAGATGATTAGATATTGATTTAAGAAAATAAATTTTGACTTATTGTATTTGCCAAATATATTAAATATCCTCGTCATTATTATAATGAATGAATGAATGAATGAACACTTTATAATAACTAAAATAAGTACATAACCAAAAGTTAATTTAACAAAAAATGTTAATATTTTTTGTCTTTTTATTATAATGTCAGACAGTTAATTCAAAATTTGATATTACAACTTAGTTATTATTAATACTGCAAATAAAGTGAAATATCATTTTAAAATGAATCGAACAGAGGTTTTTACCTAATACAATAGCTAACGTCTTTGTGGCTTTCCTTTCTTTCTTCGCTGAAGACTTTTCTCTTTTCTTCTTACTGGCTTTATTAGCTTTGTATATGGTGAAACGAGCGGTCGCTGCACTAGCTTTTCTTTCTTTTTTAGATGTAGATCCATCTCTGATATCGTATTGGCTAGCTTCGTGGTCGTCTTCAGAATGTATTGAAGTATGTAGTGCCATGGAGACGCTTCTGAAAAGCAGTAAAAAATTATCTTACAAGAAATAAAATAAAAATAGAAAAAGAATGGATCTAAATATAAAGTATAAAATAGCTATTGCTAATTATTAAATTACGTTTTGTTACTTGGCAAATATGGTAGTAGAAGTGCAACAGAGATATATTCGTAGATCGTTATTACTATGAAAAGCTCATGGCGAGGTTCCTGAGCTACCAACTCTCATAATTTCACTAGGTAGATTTTACTATTTTTATTAAGCTTTTAGCTCTAGTCAAGCAACCGATTCGAATGTAACTTTTGCTCTCGAAGCAAAAACACGTTTTATTAATCTAGCCAAATCGGACCCGATTACGAGTTTATTATAATAAAAAAGAATTATAAATACCTCGAGTCTGTAACGACTTTAGTTGCTTTCCCGTTCTTTTTCCACTTAGAACTGTCACACGCCATATTTTTCATTACTGTGGCATCTCTTAGCCCCGGTGATCCAGGTGGAGAAACGTGTTCTCGTATCGTATCTTCCAAGTTGGACGGCGCGTAACCAGAGTCGTTGTTACCATTGGGGTCTACCGGTTGTGACTTCATATTCCTTTTAGGAGTGCTGTTGAACAATTACTTTTTATTCCTATTGTGAATTATGATGTGTTAGAAAATACATCATCACTGTCATAGACCATTAGTGATTCTAAATTCACTACTAATTTCTCAAGTAAAACAACTTATTTTAAAATCTATACCCGCGTAAGCCTTGGTCGCGTAATAGTAATGCTTAAGCAACCTATCAAATTACGAGCTCAAATTGAAAATGTTGTTTATATACAAATGAATACCGTATGTGTAATATTGGCGGGGAAAATTTCTTTGCTTTAATAATGCGAGTCTTTCAGTGACAAATCTAACAAAAAAAAATCTGTTTAGATACATCCGAATACTTTATGGAATAACATTTTAATATTAATTTCAATGTCAAAATGTAATTTCACGATGTTTTAATCATTTGATCCTCTATTTAACAAATGATCGAAATTAGGGTTTCCCAAAGGAGGCCATTTCAAGTTCGGCAATAAATTTCAACTTCGACTTCGGAAAGAAAGGAAGGAAAACTTCACTTCCGTTGATGTTACCTGTTTTAGAATTCTAAATTTGTGAATAAGTTTTCAAATAAATCGAATCCAACCTATTGTCCTAATTTGGAACTAACGACTTTAAAATAATTGGCGGTGTGATATAACAATGGTGTATATACACGTGTGTTATCATATTATCAATCAAGTTAAGAACAGAACTTCTTCTTTTAACTTTAAGGTTGGAAAAAAAAAAATTGTTTAATAGTTCTTCTAAGTTTATTTCTTTTAAAACACTATGGAAGTATATCTTTAAGTTTGGATATGTGTACGTAATATAAAAAAAAACAGAAATAGAAAATTAAACTAAAACTACTACTAAAAGAAGTTCTTGGCAAATTCAAAATGTGAAATCGAAAATTTTGATTTCTTCTCGTAATTATGTTCTCTTTTCTAGGAAATTTGCTACATGTGAGTCACTTAGCAGTTTGTGAGTAATTAATACAAGCTTAACTTACGTATTTAAATGTAGGTTTACACCTTTACAGTTGCTATCTGTCTTGTCTTTTATATATTATAATATAACCTATCTTTAACATAGTGACAGTAATTGAGAACAGGCAAGGAAACACTTATGTCTTGTACAAACGGTGAATAATGATTATTTTAACATAATTTTATGTTAATTACTTAATTCAGTTTGCATAAAGTAAAAATTTAAGGCAGACATCCTTATGGCCGCAAAACACGCAACGAATTCTATTAAAAATTTGTATGATGTCATCAGCATAATGTCATAGAAGCATCTATCTATAATTTAGAGGAGCATCTTTGCGACTGCAGTGGACGTATGACATCGTCAAATCCGTGCACTTCGTTGCGTGTCGTGCGGCCGGTGCGTCCGTGCTAAGGCAGTGGACGAGCATCTTTAGACTTACTTAGTGGATTCTTCTGTTACTGTTGCCAACATAAATTCTGTTGATTTATCATTGGGTATGACGTGGCACTCGTCTGCGTCTGCTTCTAAATCAGCTGATCTTTTGTCGAAACTGTCGGCGAAAATAATACTGTGCTAAAAACTGGTTGAAAATATATTATAAAAGTTCAACGGTATAGTAGTTAGTACGTTCGATGAAAGTTAAGCAATGTTGCAAAAACTAGTCATAGGATGGAAGACCAAAAATTATTATCTCGAGCTACTCCGTGCTTCTGAAGACACGTTAAGCCTTTGCTTCCAGCTGCAGTTGCAGTCGTTAGTACCCTCCTCCTTCAAATTCGTTACCAGACCAGCGTGGAGGGTCATGACCCATCCTCCTTAACCATCCATAAGGAAGGCTTGAGCGCCTCCAGTCAGGACGTAAAAGGGCCTATGATGACTCAGGACGGTAATCAAAAAACGTTAAAAAAGATCTGTTATAGAAACACTCTGAAACTTAAAACATGACTTGACACTCAAACCTCAACATTATCACAACAGGAATGTCTTACAAAAACAATACAACTTTTTCAATCAACATAAAACAATAAGATTATCTAAAACAGGTCGTTGAAAAAAAAACCATTTAAAGATGAAACTCATACTCGAACAAAGTTATGTGGCGTGCGTACGTTCTGGATCAACTTACATAAGCGTAAAGTCATGTAAAATAATTCCATCTCTTTATAAAAGCCCAAAATTGAAAAGCCACGTGCACTCTATATTCGCCCTTCTGGTAAACAAACGTTTGCTAGAAACTTCGTTAGAATAACCAATCCCAACGGTTATATTATATTACGCATTACATTTTCTAATATGTAGATGTTTAGGTCATATGAAATACAGCTATAAAAACTACAGTTAGCCAAATCGAGTCCTAAGTAACTGTGGAATCTTACATAACTATACAATAAAATTCAATCAATCATGTCTTATATTCGCAATAATACAATGATTGCTTGTTGAATGTCTCGAGGTAAAATTTATAAAATTATATTATCTTTGATAATATAAATGCTGCTTAATATTTTATATATATTGCACTGTAAATCAAAAAATCTCATAAAGAAAAGTATGAATGAATATAGCATTTTCAATATCTTCATCTATACTTAATATTATAAAGAGGAAAGATTTGGTTGTTTGTTTGCAACGAAAAGGCTACTGGACTGATTTTAAAAATTCTATCACCTTCTGGAAGTTACATCATATGCGATGGACAAAAGCTATATTTAATACTGAAAAACAGTAAGGGGATGAAAATGGAAGTGGAAGTTTGTAAAGGGATTTGAAACGTTACCATATTACCCATTGTTTCATTGTAATTATATTCGTCTCATGATATAATCGATATCTAATAAACAGTTTCCTGGGGATAACGCGGGAAGAGCCGCTGGTCGTAAGCTAGTCAAATATAAAAATTGGTAAATCAAAACTTGATACATAAAAGCTCACCGAAGTAAAATGCGTCAAATTATTGAGCAGTTAAAGCTACAATGTAATTTATAGTGACTTAGGAATCAAATTGGCTGGCTATAAACTAATACTAATTAAAATTTATAAAGTAGCTTTGTTTTACACAAATCTGAAAGCACAAATTACGATTTACTATATGCTAAGCCGAAATCGCGAAATTATTTGCATGGGATTTGTTAGCAACTGGCTGGTCAGCCCACATTTTTTATAAAACTTTGTTTCTATTTGTAATATTATTTATTATTGACGACTGTCAAAATAATATTGTGTATTTTACTTTTTTTTTTGTGTATATTCATTAAAATTGTGATTAGTTTAAAGCAACATTACCGAACGAACATATACGAATTTTCCAATTGGAATACTCATTAGAGTTTAAAATCGTTATTAAACTTTAATAGACGTTTGTGCAACCGATAATATCAGATTCTGTTAAGGTGCCGTAATTGGATACTAGCTTCACGTGTATATTTATTTTTATGAAACTTTATTTCATAATGCATGACACTAGTGACAATTTCTTGGTGGGGTAGTAAGCGCCTCGGCCCGCAGTTGTTGTTATGAAGTTTCGCAAGGATCGGTTGGAATGGTTGACAAAAAAAATTATTAGCTCATGGTATTCCGTGCTTCAGAAGATACCTTAAGCTGTTGAACCAGGCTGCATTTGCAGTTGTTAATACCCTCCAATCCCCATTGGGCCAAGGTGAAGGGTCGTTGCCTATCCTCCTTAACCATCCATAGGGAAGGCCTGAACCCCTTCAGTGAGGACTTTAATGGGCCTATGGTGATGATAATGTCATTAGTTCCGTTATGTACTAAATTCAGCTTTAAAATTGAAAATTACAACGAACCTATCTTCATGGTCATCCTCGTTGCTTCCAGAACCTGTATTAGTTGGTCTGTCATCGTGTAGTGCAGTCTCCGCCAGTCGCCTTGTCTGAGCCACATTTTCTATAACTACTGCTTGTGTTGCACCCGTCGTGGGGTCACTAGAAATTGGGGGCTTTTTCGCTGCTCGCTGTTTCTTTGCTCTATTTCTTAATGCCTGAAAATTGTTGTTCTTTTTAATAGTATTTCTTTTTAAACACAAGCCTAATATACATCTTAAGAGCATTAGAATTTACTCGGCAAGAATATACATATATTTAACACAACGTAGTTATCAAGATAAATATTGTATTCGCAATATATGTAATATGACTAAATATTACTAAATGCTACAGTAGACAAAGACAAATTTGCTGCTGGAATTGCCACCTGGAAGCAATATTATTGCAGAAAAAGGATGCATATCAAATTTTGCACATATATTTGAATATTCAGTTATACACATAATTAATATATTGCTAATGTCGCACTCACGCTTATAAAACATGTTAGCTGGCAATTTTTACGAAAATGAATTGAGTTTTACTAGTAGATGCAACATAACATTTTCTATCCAATCGTGTATTTAACTCGATTGTGGAAAAAACTCGTTTAACTCATTTTTGTCAAGTTTTACAAGGATGGGTGCAATAAAACTTACCTTAAAAATATTATAATACAGGAACATCATCATTATACATGGAATGTAGAAGGAGCCGAGTGAGGAATATATGACATAGTTGTGACTGTTGAAGAGACACTCGTCGAAGTCTCGGTCTGGAGTGTCGTTTAGGCCCAACACTATAGGAGCTCCGATGGCGGCTGATATCAACCACACCAAGACTATTGTGAACCAGACCCGTTTGTTGTTCTTGTGTTTTGCATATTTTATTGGTTGCGTCACTGCAATATACCTAAGGATGAATTTTTAAGATGTTAATGCATTATATTTTTAGGTTCTTATTGACTAGTACAGGAACATCCAACTTATGTGGCGCATCGTGAAGTTTATGCAGAGTACACATAATAATTCCGATTATGATTGAATGTACGATTAAATATTATAATCAAGTCTTGTTTTTATTGTTAGAAATCGCGAAATAAGATACAGCAAGCTTTCGTCTTAATTAAAGTTTTGCATCCATCGATAAGACATATTAGTTGTTATTTTGTTTGTTCTGTACAAGCCAAAAAAATATTTT